CCCTGGTGTAGCTTTGCGCGAAATTCAAAACAAACAAACAAATCCTTTTATAACCATATGGTTTATATACAAACATACTTTCCACAACAGCACATATTGAATTTTACAAGCTGGTGTTTGTCCGCCAATGTACTATTCATTGTAGTCCAAATCAGTAATGGTGCCTCAGTTGAAAGAGCAACCAAGCAAGCCAGAAAGAGCCTTATGAATAACTTTGTGTTAAAGCACCTTGGTGTCCGATACGTATTACAATTCCTTGTGATTTCAAATAACTCAAATTACATTGCTAGAAACTGTTTGCAGCTGATCAGGGTATAGATGCTGTTGTTTCTTGTACATATAAGCATTTAGAGGAGCAACAATTATTTTTTCAAGATATACTCTTCAATAGCCACAAGCACAAGCCTTTGATTAATTCATTGATGATCTTCAATACAGAAGTATGAATCATCAAAGTGTTCAAGGGCACTATACCTTGCTATTAACAAGAAAAATGGCATATTCATCCTGAAAATTATGATTTCGTCAAATAAAAAAACTACAGGAGTAGACTCAATAGGAATATTTATTTGTTGTTAGTTAGGATTTTCATGACAGTATAGAATTCTTGCAGAACTTAGGTTCCAGATCTGAAATGTCATCTTGATTAAAGAAAGGGCAAATGTGTCCAGAATGGTGAAAATCAATTAGATTATTGAGCCTGTGAAATGGGAGGATTAACAAGTAAACAACTTTGTAAACAAGTCATGAGTAACTCGTAAATCTCAATGTTGTAGATTACATAAAGATTGTGTTGTGATTGAGAATGCATTTAGGCCAACAACGCTCAAGGAAGTTGTGCATATTTATGCTGTCACGTCTATTCTAATAAAGTGAGCTGCAGAAGAGAGTTAAGCAAGAAAAGCTAGCTTCACAGCTTGCTCTGTGGATACATGCGATTTTTACTGCATTCTCTTTTCTCTCCGATTAAACAGATAAATTCGTATAACCATGAATAACCCTTCATATCAGGCGTTTAATCACTGCTTCACCATCACCATGACGATATTATGCTACGTTAGTTACGTTGTTATTTATCATCATCCACCCACTTTTTAAGTTCCTAACCCTGACAAAGAATGGGTATTTCAGTTTGTAGACAAGATTTCAACTTTTTGATTATATATTTACTTTGTAATGATATTTCTCTTATGTTTAAATATTATTTATGTCTCTGCAGAGAGACATACTGTTTCTATATTGCTTCTTCTTTCTTCTTCTTCCAAACACTTTTCAGTCGGCCGCCATTATTTCATTTCTTCGCGGATTGACTTAGTGAGGTTATACCTTGATCCAATATACCTCAACACTTTTTTCACTTTTTTTATTGAGACTTTTTAAGATTTTTTTTATGGAATCATAGATCAAACAACCCTCAAAACGTATATTGTGTCCTCCTGTGCGGTCATATTTACAGCAATAAAGATGAAAATTGGCACAAATATACGTTTTTATGCGCCCAACACAAAGATTTACATAAAAGTTGGATTTGCCTATTTAGAGTTTTTTTAAGGGGGGGAGGGTCACAGCTCACAAAAAAGCATAATTTTGGGGTGTTTGGTCAATTACTCGGCCGTATTTTGACCAATTTATATGGGATTTGATACAAAGCTACTTTTATACAGGCAATACATATTGACAAAAAACAATGTTGGACTTTCCCCCTTTTTTGGTAATTATAGGAGGAGTCAAGATGCCACAAAATTTGGGGTTTGCGTGAACTATTCATGTGTATGTCAACCAGCTTTCATGAAATTTGTTGCAAATATACCTTCTTCCAGGTCCGAAGCAGGGATATAGACATTTTTCGATTTTTCTGATGTCAAAATTGGCTATGTTGAGATTGCGTGGCGGAGACGTGTTGTATTCGTCGGCAAATGTTGTCTTTTTAATTTAAATTTTGCCCTTAGAACGTAGGTATTTCACGACTTCGACTATAATATATCGTACTCCCTTCTATGCAAGTTTATAATCTTGCGAAATGTCATTGCTATTGTAAAAAAATGTTACTAGGTTTCTGCAGTTTACCTGACAATAAAACTTTTACAAATCACCGATTACTTTCATTTTAAGTATCTTCATTTTTTGCAAGTAACTAAACTTTCCATTATTACAAAGTTGAAGTCTGCATCATTTGTTAGTACTTAGCTTGTACTATTGTCGCTAAACTGCATGTGTGTACATGATTCATGATAATTTGTTTTAAGAATGTTATAAGTTATGTTTTTGTACAGAGCCTTTGTGACGCTCTATATCTAAATTGATAACAGATCATACATTTTTTCCGCTAGAAGTCAGACACCTCTTCAGAAAGATATGGACGACCCACTTGACCCAGATAGTCGAGAACCCGACGTCATCCCTGCCTCTGCTATTGACTTGCATGGTAGGTATTGTTTCACTCTTCAGTTGTTTAACATTTATTTACTTTGACCTAATCATTATTTACATACACACACACACACACACACACATATATATATATATATATTAATATGATTGACCAACCTTCTAAATGGTTGTAGCCAACTATTATTATTTTCTTGTTTTATGATAAGTTTCATTATAACTGTTACCTGAGTATAGTAGGTATGTTAGGTTTATCAGATGTTGCGTTTTACTTAGGGTTTCGTTCAGTATTTGCTAAAGGTAGATAATGAAATAAGTGAGTATTAATTTAGGTCAAGCAGAAATAATTTCCTAAGCATGAGAATATTTTTCATTCGTCTTGGTTTCGTACTGTAATATGCCTTTTTGATGTGGACAACGCAGAAAATATTATACTTTATTCTGTAATATTGCACATGTGGCAGTTCTATCTCTCCCTTTTACAGAATTTTATTTAAAGCATACATAATCTATTTATATCAGACAGTATACTATGTATTGTATATTAAAAACTATTATTTACATTTTATATTGTGCTCGCTGGACTGTTTAATACGAAGAGATTCTAAAGAAGTTTAGTTAGAACATTGGGTATATTTTTGTATACGTAATCCTGTATAAAACTCGATTTAATATCACGTATTCATGTAGTTATAAAACTATATATACATCAGTGCATATAATGTTTTGAATCATTAACGTAACTGTGTAACTATATGTTTAATTTAAAGCTTTGAAATCGTCGTGCATTTTTTGCAGTATTGTGTTTCAACCTATGTTAAGATTCGAATCTATTTTGAGTAATTAGTTTTCATGAATCTCATTCAATATTTTCCCTGAAAAATAAGCTTCAATCTGCATAAAGTCATTACTTCTCTAAATGAATCGTTCTTTCAGTTTTAAAATTTTTACTCGTCTTGAATTAGACTGTAAAATATTAAGCAGTCATTTCTAATATTCCTAGTTTGAGCAATAGTTAAATTTAAACCCGTAAACTTTAATTTAGAGAGTTACTACTCATAATACAAAGTCAGTAGCAATTAATAATACTGGCAACATTTGTGTGATAAGAAATTGTTCTAGTATCCCTTTGATAAGTTACGTCTCCTGAGAAACATGAGTTAGATAAAGACTCGGCCCATTTCCCAGGGATGCTGTCACTAAGAAAACATCTCGTTAAAGCTTTCCACCAGATGTTGACATGAATGTTAAATTAATGAGAATATGAGGAAACGGAAGCATGTACTTGAACTCTGTATGTTAATCTTAGCGTGGTCGATTTCTCATGTATGGTTTAAGTATGAATTTCCTAATGTTTAGACATAAGTCTTATTCCTTACTTGAGGGAACGCTGACTTTTGTTATGTTATATACTATTTTTCGTTTGATCTACATTCTGAAGTAATATCATATACGATATACAATTGAACTTTGGCTGCTAAGTTTTAAAATAACATTGTTTGAGAGCTCAAACAATATATGTTCTGCTAAATTAATGAGAGTTCAAAATAGTAGGTTTTATAACTAACACTGTCTGTTTCACTAAATTAATTAGTATTTAACACAATACGTTTTATCACCAACAATATATGTTAAAATAATAAATAAGAAACACACAACGTTAAAATCGATACACAAGTAAAAGGATTTTTAATTCAGTCCAATCTATACTGTTTGAGAGAGAGAAGGTGTTATTTCCATTGACGTTTCGCGTACTTAAATTTTACTTATGCCTTCAACAAAAAGTTTGATATATCAGAATAATACTACGCTTGGCTCTACATGACTGGAATTTTGTTTATAATTACATGTATATAAAATTTGTCTGCTTCTTTGATTAAAGACAATATTACTATACATTACTTTTGACATAGTACAGCAAACCATGTTTATTTATTAATAATCGGTTATTAAAATTATACCATGAAATTACAATATCCTCTCCTTTCTCGTACGTACAACGACACTACTGGAACTTTTATTCTTATGAAGTTACGGTGTAACGAAATTTTGTAGCATAAAATTCATAATGAGCACTCAGTGTTTTAATAACACAACCACACGTTTCTAGAAATACATAAATTAAAGGATTTGCTAATCAATTTATTATATGACTATGTGTACGCGGCTGATGTCACTTGCGTAATAAAATCCCTGTTGTTTGTTTTTCTTCAAGCACAAAGCTATATAATGGCTACCCGTGCTTTGCCCACCGCAAGTATCGAAACCAGATGTTTAGCATTATAAGCCCTCAGATTTATCGATGTGTTTTCGAAGAGTAATAACTTTGTTTAAGACTGAGTAAATTTGTCTGAAGTTTTGATATTTTTGTGATTTTTTCACTTCGAATTATTTTACCTTGTGCACATTTTCCACGCCCCCCCCCCCAGTGGAACAGCGGTATGTCTGCGGGCTTACAACGCTAGAAACCGGGTTTCAATACCCGTGGTGAGCAGAGCACAGATAGCCCATTGTGTAGCTTTGTTCATAAATTCAAACAAACAAAACATTTTTCACTCGTGTGATTAGACAACCAAGCACATCATTAAGGAAGACTGGGATGTCACACTAATCTAAATCTTTTTTTTTGCTATAGAGTGAATATTATCTTCTTTTTTTTTCTTCTTGATGCGTGAGATACAAAACCTATAATTCAGCCTACCGAACGAAGTTTTCCTTCTGTCTGTCTGTGTATTTATATACTGAGATAATTGGCATGTTATCGGTTGGATAATCTATATTTCTCATTGTTATTTTGTTTTGTTCGTTATTTTCCTTTTTTTTTCAGGAAACTAAAAGTAAAGTGAAACTTGAGAAATCTTTCTTTTTCATTCCACTTTCAACAAAAAATACGGATATCATACATTTTATTTTTAAAGAACGTTCTCTTTTCGGAATGAGGATACGATTTGTTTAATTTCATTTGTATAAGAGATCTGCCTTTAATGCATTATATTTTAATAATTTTATTGATCTTCGTTGTGTTTGTGCATAGTATATATATATATGTACGTAAACTAAACGCTATAAACTACAAGTTTATTTAAAATTTAACAAACAAAAATATATGAACACTAAGCCCTCCATAGACTCAGCGGTAAGTTTGAAAACTTATAACACTATAAATCCTGGTTTTGATACCTGTGGTAAGCACAGCACAGATAGTCCATTATGTAGCTTTGCGTTTAACTACGAACGAACAAAAACAAAATTTGAGAACTGTGCTTAGTTTGCAGATTTTCAGTTCCTTGAGAAAGTTTCTTACATACGTAACACAATTAACACAAATCGTACATATAAGATGTTAGCATTTGTACTTTTGTACTGTTTTCCTGAAAGGTATATCCGTTTACATGATAGAAATAAGTACGCCATGGTGAGGCTCATTACGTTAATACACATGCACTGTTGTGCTTCGTTAAGAGATTTCACATGTCCATAAGCATCTAATGGATAACGCCTGCAATCACATGAGTTAACTTCATGTTTGTTATTAATCAAAAAGCTACACAATAAGTTATCTGTTCACTGTCTATCGCAGGTACCAAATACCATGTTTTTGCGTTATAAACCTCAGACTTACTGAGGGGGCCAGTTGTCACGTGTCTTTGTATTTGCAATTATTGCATTGTAATGCCAAACATTTTTTCATGTTCTCCTCTCTAAATTGTACGAATAAATAAATAATACGAAAAGTGAGAAAATTAACGTATTTCACACTCTAGCTAAAGAACCAATAACACCGTGCCCAGATAATACCAGTAATTCCCCTGTGACACATACCAGTTGCAATAGACAATTACATTAATAATTAAGAAATTCGTTTGAAAACCGATGCTGTTTTACTATATATACATTACAGTATAAAACAGAGAAACCTAAATAAAATCCTAAAAGAATAGTGATTTATTTAAAGTGCATTTTGCTGCAAATTTTAATTTCGTTTTGCGGATTCTTAACTAGCTTGAACTGTTTTTTTTTCTTTCTAATTCCCCCTACGGATGATATTAATGAGCAGTGCTTTTTATAAACATATTTTGCTCCTCTTTATGTTGAAGTTAAGGTATTACATCACCCTCATAAGTGATGTTCATTAAAATGGTTTCATTCCTGAAGAACAATTTTTCGAATATAAATTTCAAGATACAGAAAGTAATAATAACGTATAAGTACCTTTCATCGTGTTTACTAAAAAAATGCCTGATATTAGCACATAATACAAGAACAAAAACTGTTTGTTAAACAATAAAAACATTTAATCTCTGTTTCAAGAGTGAATATAGTGCAAAGCCAGTCTGAAAAAACATATAATTCAAATACTAATATACAACTATTATTTTGGTTTAAATAATTACTTAAAACTCAGATTGTCTTATGTTCTGTTGATCAATTAATACAGCACGATTACAGTAATCTCGTATTCTGTAGATTTGGCGTACAATAGTTCATAGTTCCAATAATAGACAGTATTACTGGATAATATTTCTGCTATTGTGACAAAAAATATAATAAGCTATACTTACACAAGAAATTCCCATAGTGTCTGAATAGGATAATATTAAGCAAAGTTTTGCCTTATAAACTGATTTTTATAATAAGTGAAAATTTATAATTTCGATGAAGTATAGAAAAAACACCTTAAAAATTGTAGTATTTTATAAAATAATTACAAAAAACAATAGTCTGGAATATATTTATTTTAAAAAAGTAGAATTCTACTTTATAAAAACAAATTGATTAGTTTATTGGATCCAAAACCATTCCTTGTATTTTAATGGCTAAAATGTTTTAGTACGTAATTTTGACTATTACTTTTTTAAGTAAAACAAATAATTTGAGAATATTTTAATTTTATGGATAAAGGTGTATTATAGCGGGTATTTCGAGTGATCTATAGAAGCCGTAGAGAAAGTTCTATATTATGTGGTTTAGTTACAGGAAGCATAACATCTCTAAAATCAGAACAGAAACAGAAACATTTGCTATGGAAGTTCTCTATTGATTTAGCTATTAAGCGTAAATGATGTATAGAAATATGTATATAAAATAATAGTAAGTAAAGCACCGCAAACTCGTGAGAGCTTACTCTGTGTGTGTTATACTAAAATGAATAGAGTCAAGATTAATTGTGCATTAAATTTTATTATACTCTTGAAAACTTTTGGATTTATTGAGCTATATCTTAAATGCTACAGCTCCATAAATGTATTAGGGGGTAAACTCAACCAGTGAAAGGGCTTTATTTGTAGGAATGAAATTTTTGAAACCATTGGCACTATAATAAGCATTAGTAAACACGTTTATGAAAATGAGTTAAAGATAAACTATTATTTACGCGCTTACAATTAATACGAATTTATAAGGCTTGTCTTGCTAAGTGAAACAGATATTCACATGGAAAAATAATGATGTATGTAATATACGTGTACACCATGGGTGTGGATGATTTATGTGCTATTACGTATACATAGTGATTACACTGAAACGTTTTAATCATATTACCACGATTAGAGACCCTTTATCGTGTTTCTTTGCCTTTGGTATATCCATAATGTCTGTTGTTACAACCCTTAAGAAGCAATGAGATCTGAGGCTGTTTTGGTGTTTATTTTCTTAGAGGTAATAACACATGGATATTTTCTTAATGACAACACATTGAAAAGATAAGTCTCATACTTTAGTTATTAGTTGTTGAAATGCTAGGGCAATATATATATATATATATATATATATTACGTCTTTGAAGTACATAGTGACGCTAGTATTTAGTTTCATTGACCACTAGCGCTTAATACTTCTCTTGTTTAATTGATTTTAAATGTTCATGTGATTCCTTGCTAATATTACATTTATCATTTGGAAATTGTCAGAACAAAGCTATATAAACAATTAGTAGTAAACTTTCAAGAGTGTGCTTCATTTATTATTTAATTAATATTTTAGTAATATTTGGATCTGGATAATGCAATTGCATTTTATTTTTGTTGACTGCCCGATAAAACATCATAATGATACACGAGTATTATATGTCTCATAAGACATCTTGTTGTATAGAAGACATAAAACTGAGTGTGCTGATTTTGATGAGGTATTTGTTAGTCACACGGAGTAGTGTCATTGAGATTATATGACTATCAGTCATAACTAAAAACGTCCTTTATTAGTTATCATTAACACAAACTGTATTGTTCAGAGGTTAAGTACGTTGTATGAAATCGATTTTCTAACCTCATCACCTAATTACAATCCATGTCGTCACGTCTGACCATGTTCTATCTGACCGCTGTGTATCTTGACAACAGCTTGCAGTTAATTTCTCTAGCAAGAAAAGCTCCGATGTAAGGCTGTCATGCTCAAAACACACCACTCCTACTTGCATAATCTATCAACTGTACGAAAAGGACGGTTTTCCAACGCTCATTTCAACAGACCGATCGCACACAAAGCTGCATAAGCGCTGCATCCGACACCTTGACCAATTTGTCTTCCTGTGGAATACATAAATAGCCAATTAATTTTACAGCTGCTTGAGGTATGGAATGATTGAATGGATATATCGGGGAATCAACTTGTATGCATGCGACTTGTGCCGTTTTTACAGGCGGCGATCATTTTTTATTATATTGCGTACTGTTGCTTGACATACGTGGGCTGACTTTGCACGCAAACTTTGTACTCGATGCTTCTCACCTGTTACAAATGCCGCATTATGCTTATCACGGCTGGGATACAACTTGTAGAAGATTTATTTCTAGATGTTTCTGGTCTCCAAGTTCATCCAAAGGAATTGTTGTTATGTTTGTTTGTTTGGGAAATTCTAAATCCTAAGTTCTAACTAGAACATGCTTATGATCTCAATGTATGAATATTTTGGATCGGAAATAGCTATTTACGTACCCTTCTCAAAACCAACACATTTCGATGACTCCATACTATCTACGTAATGCTAAACAATGCTAAAATGTAGTTCTGATACACTCTATCCCACCACAATTTTATACCGGCTGTGGTTCTCATGACTTGCTCATTTGCATAGCGGACCTCAACCCTCGTTATACATAAAGGTTCCCACTATGCATAACGTCTTTGTGTATAATTATAAATTCTAATCATATTTTCATAACTACTTGCTTTACTTTACATGACATATATGTGTATGATCACCTTTTTGAACCCATGAGGTCCTTATTACATTAATGACTTGTTACACATTTAAAGTGGTGTCGATATCTCTTCCTGCTTACCAGTATCATAGAAATTAAGTTTGCGATTTTAAGGTCCATACAATAATTTCTTATTAACTTACCAATTAGAGTAAAATAAAAAAGGTTATTTTATGGTATTTCACTCTTCTTGTCTCAGGTGTTAGATTTTATTTAATAAAAAAGGTAATAAAACTGAAAGATGAAATGTCAACAAATAATGTCTAACTTGCTCATGCTGACAAACACTGTTTGATATCTCTGATTGTTTTTATTTTTTTAGGGGAAATCACGAGTTCAGAGATAGTTATGAAATGTGCAGAATAATAAAATAAGATTACTTTCTTCCTGTATATGCTTTTCTTTAGAAAGGAATGGTGGTATTGGAAGAGTGACTGGAGTCTATCACACTGCACATAATGGAAAAGATCGGCCACGCAATCCCCCTGGGCTCCAGCCTACTGTCCTTGGAACCACTTCGGTAGCTGTGCCAACGGTTAGGTTTTGTTTTTATCTTTTTTTTTCATCTATACAATGTAGTATCTTAACTTAAAAAAAGCTAAGTATGAGGGAAAGGCTTAAAACCTAGAAAGCCATCGCAGTTGCTGTTTAGAAATTATTGGAACTATTGTCGGAATGTGAACCTACTTTTACATAATTGTACGATGTCATCATTTCGAGAATGGGCTTTAAAGAACGTAGCTTACAACCTTATTCATACCTACGCTGTTAAAGTTAAGGATGTGTAGTTTTAGGTAGCTTGCAGTGTAATTATCATTCGGGTTATATTACCTCATATGAATCTGTGTCTTTTGTTTGTGCCTGTCATGTATGTTATAACCCTTATTTTTATCATATAATGACAATATGGATTAAATAGTTATGTATCACTAAATTGAAACTAATCTAGCTTTGAACCATACAAGAGTTTCACAAAATGTATTCCTATAAGATAGATTTAAAAGTATTATATTTTGTAATGCACATACATTCGGTGTAACGAAATAAGCACAAAATTACAATATTTGAAAACACGCTTCTACAGTTTTCCTGACACATAACCCTTTATAACCAGCTAACAATAAATTCTAGGAGAATTACTATTAAGATTGCTATTCTAAAAATCAAGTAACTGACCTTTAAATGATCTCAGTGTTCCACGCGAAAAGAATCTATCAGCGAACCTTTTGATGATTAGGTGTTTTACACAAAAATTGCCCGTTTATTTCACATATAAATAGTCTATTGGCTGACTTCTTTACTGGCTAAAGTGTTACATATAAAAATTGATGTAATTAAAGTAATTCATAAAACGTTAAAAACGTTGAATGTTATTATAAGTAGATTTTGTAATGCTTAAGTGTAGCCTGTAATACCATAGATATAATGTTAGAATAAATAAACAAACGGAAGTTATTAACATTCGACAATCAGACGCATTACATTACTTCCTCACCAATCTGATTTTTCATATATTTCAAGTATCTTTCTTTTGAATATCTGATGAAGTATTTAAGAATTTGAGGTTGGGGTTTTATATCTATTATATTCGTAAGCACATTTATATAATGTATAGTTGAAACACTATCCATAAAGAGTGTTAACTTTATCTAGAAATCTATTGAATCTTTGTTTATGATTTATATCACTGTTACATATATATAAATAAATGTTGTCATTGTAGCCGATATTCGTTTTTGTTCTTAATTGAATTCTAGAACTTATATTTGTCCTATCGTTAACTTTAAACTTATAACCATTTTTGTTTATTATAGCAACCATGTTTATTCATTTTCCTGTCAACTTCATTTTAACTTATTTATAGGTCCTCGCAAGCTCTGATACAATTATATTTGTTATGTAATACTATCCCAAATCATTTCCTTGTATACCAACGGTTAAGATATTTTGTGTGTAATTTAAACCATTATGTCTTTAAGTTCGTTTCAACTTGAAACAAATAATTTGAGAACATAAAATTTTATGCATAAATGTTAATTATAGCAGACGTATCGAGTGATCTATAGAAGTCGTAGTGACAGTTTTATATCATATGGTTTAGTTAAATGAAATATAAAACTCTGCATTCGTTAATTATGTTAATTTATGTTTATTTAATTTTGATCTCTTATCTATCTTATTCTATAAAATAATTGAAGACAAAGCATAAAATTCTTAAAATGCATTGAATAAAGGGGACTAGTGAAAGTGAAAAAGTCTGTACGCTAGATATTACTCGATTAAAGACATTAATCCCTCATGTGTATGCTTAGCAGCTACCACAGGATATTGTTTCTATTCACGATTATACCAGAATTAGGTAAAGTTACATTTCATTCTTTATTGGATTTTATTTTCACCAACACTATAGTTAAAATGTTTAATATACATAATATATTTATTTCTCTTGTTTTATATTCATATATATTATATTATGTTTTCATCATAAGAATTATTTACGATTTGTATCTTAGTATATATATTTAGGACTAACTAAAATCTCCTATGATTGCAGAATCTTTAAAGATATTACATTTATGGTCAAAAATGCCAATAACAAAGATAATGCCTTACAGACCAATCAGTCCATTCTAATTATTACAAGTTTTTGTTTTATCCCATTGTAAAATTCTATATAGACCAATGTTTTAACTTATATTTATCTAGTGTCATGATACATTAACACGCTATGGTACAAAAGTTTATTTAGCAATTAAACAAGTAATTAAGCTTTTTCCATGAAATGTCTCTTACAACTAATCGACATCTGAATTTTACAAATATATCGATCGCCAACTTCATTCAGTCAATGTGTAAAGTTCTGAAAAGGGGAATATTTAAGGGTTTTAAAATGTTTTGGGATTTCTATATATTTCACAATGAAAAAAAAAAGGTTTCGGTATTGTATAAGAATACATATAAATGACTGAAGTTCCATATTTTGTATGTAGGTGTTCATCCTTTATTAATAAGCATATTCTAAATCGTGTGATTTTCTAAAGAAGAAAAAAAAACAATTTAAATACCATAAATTTTAAGGTAACAATTCGAGAGATAAAAACTACCTTTCTTTCTAGGTCTAGCAATAACTTATATTAAAATAGATATGGATATTCTAATATATTATAATGTTGAAAAGGTTAATAGTTGTGTATTGTTTATAGATAGATAGAAAAGAAGAGAACAAAAGAAGGTAAACGGTTAAAATATACCACAATATTTAAAAACAAAATGTTTTCGCATGCTTCAACGTACGAATATTCTTATTTATTCTTCTTGAAATACTTTTTATTTAGTGTTTGTTAACTACTGGCTTTCGTGTTGTAGTTTAAGCTCACTCATCAAATCGCCT